CTCATCCATTTCCAAATACACCTAGGACAGAAGCAGCCACCTAAGAAGCCCAGTGTCCTACAAAATAACTGACTGCTTACTTATCCATGGGGGTGTTCCATTTATTTAACAAAATACAAATGTTGCTTGAAAAAGGTACGTTAAGTGGTGATTAGTAAATGCCACCAAGACTGCCCATACACTGACCATAACGTTTGCAGAATGGTTATAATTGGTTATAATCTTGGTTGACTCTGCCAGGAACCTCAACATCTAACAAAAGTGTTATTAAAGAAGCTTACAAATGAATAACCATTCTCAACAACTCACAGCAGCCTTTACAGCATGAAAGTGGGAAAAATGAAGAAAGTTTTAAGGTGGAGGACTGATTAGGATGACAACAATCTCTGTCATGAGAATGTATTGTGCAAGGCTTCTCAGGGGAAAAAATTTTCACCTGAAAAGAGACAGCATTATGAACACTGTAGAACTGTGGATCGCAGGACACTGATCTTATTAAGGACTAATGCTAATTTGCACACTGTCTCCTGCTGAACTGGAAGCAAGTTTACCACTGGGTTTGGTAATTTACCCAGGACACCATTATCTTTGGGTGGACTTAATGTATCAGGGTAGAGGTTGTTAATTGATGGGCTCATGATTATCTAGCATGAATTACTGACAGGATAACCAAAATAAATTTGTACTCCAACTTCATTTCTCTGGATGCAATTTTTTTCAGCTGTTATTTAATTTCTATTTTGAAACAGTAATAATTATATTATATGTCTATATATGTGTATATGTGTTTCTTTTGTGGAGAGTAGAGTAGAAGCACTATGTTCATAATGGAGATACGGAGATTGCTATTCTGATTTCATTTCTAGCATTTCAGAAAAGTAAGTAATTACTATATAAATAAAGGATTCAGCTTTTTCTTGTTGAGCTTACAAATAAAGAGAGGCATGGTCATGATATTTTTAATCATAATAAAAATATATAACTATTATGGGGACTTTCCATTGTCCACTAGAGTTTACAAAGACTTGGACTATTAGATATTCTGAATGAAGCTGCCCTGAATCTGCTCTCTCTGCTTTTGCAGACATTTTACTTCAACCATCTCTCAATCATAACTCTAAACCTTACTTTCCAGCCCAAGTAAACACTTTGTTGAAAAAAAAAACCTACAAAATTCCATTGGTACATTTATTTTAGCTTACAGTTCAATAAAATCACTATGAATATTCATAAAAATAATTCTCAGAATTAGAAGTTAAATAGAAAAGTGTATTCTTGAAAATATTTGTGGTTTCTGGTTAAATAAACACATTTTCATAAAGCTGCATGTTCAATCTACTTTATATAAATGGAACAAATCAACAAAAAATTCATTTATAATTTTTATAGTTTGTATGAGCCCATTTCTAATAGCAGGGAACACTTTTGTGTCTCTGCATGATATCTGTAGAAGCAGGTGAATTTTCATTTATTTAACACAAATATTCATACAAGGTAAACTCTTACGGCATATGTGAAGCGTGCTTCATGGCAGCTTTGTGGCAATAGGAAATAACATGACATAACTGTACAATAAATGGACTGCTGCCACCTCAAAATTACCTGCAGCAGTGTTGTGAATATAGAGGAGAATACAAGAAGTCTGAGGTGGGGTTTTTTTTTTTTTTTTTGCCAGTTTCTAACCTACTTTGCTTACAAATGATTTAATTCTGATCTTATGTAGCTGGACATTTATTACAATCTCATATTCAGAACTGCAAAATTATTAAGGAGATTGTTTTTAAAGCTTTGAAGGGCATTGTTAGTTGACGTGCTGAAGCTTTCAATTATGCAATATATATTTAGGTAACCATGTAAGAAGAAAAGAGAGGTAAAGACACTAGTTTCAGACTTGGCACATATGAAGAGTTGAGCTGTTGTATCTGTTGCCTGAGGAGGCACTGTCCAGACTCATACTTGAACCACACTATTTTCCAGGTAAACTTGAATACCAACCTTTAAAGCAGAAATAGGATTTTATGTTTTCCATTGAAAATCAGTGTTGACACAATGACCCAGAAACCACTCAACATATAATGATATATTCTGTTACCTGGTTTTAAAATGCTTTTGGTGATAGGGTTTTCAGCACAACAGAGTTTTCTCTATCATAGGGAGGATGCTAAGCAGGTTTACTGATTGGGTGTATATAAATACTTATCAGAAAATCATGTTTCCAATTTGGTGGAAAGATATATTTTTGTTTTATTCTGGGGCTTCTTCTATTTAAGCATAACCACAGTGTTGTCTAATGACCTCAAGCCTAAACTGGCTTTTACATAGTCCTTTTCAAGCCCAGCTTTTGAGAGTTTCTAAGAAATTCAATTTGGGGCTTCACTGGACAGAAATCCATTCTCAATTTAGGTAGTATCATGTTTAGAATAAAGTGGAAATACGGAGGCCTCACCCACAATTAAAACAACTTGTAAATGCACTTCTGGATACTCTCAAGTATTAGCAAGGAAACCAAGTTGGAAACGATTTATTTACAAAGGCTACCTGTGTTACACTACTGACTAGTGGGCAATAAATAAGAAGAGACAGATTTTAAGACCCTAACAGTTCTCTAAATGTGAAGTGCTATTGCTATGTTTATAATTTACTGATTAGAAATATTACTGGAATAATCTTATTAATTGTTCCTTACCATAATATTCTAAAATCCAAGTATAATGTTCTTAAAAATCAAATCTCTTGAGTATTTTAATAAAAAACAATATCATGTTATATATGTAGTAGCAAGCTTGTAATTGATCTGAATTAAACCCTGATGGGATGAAACTTCAGAAATGGAACCAATATCTCATAGTGTCTCTTTCTCTTTCCCTATCCCTCTCCTCCCAAATACAACTTCACTGTTAAGAATATCTTAGTTCAGATAAGATGTTCCAATATTGATCATTTCTTGATTGGACAATATCCTCCTAACTGGTCTTCACTGTCTTTAAAAAACTAACCTGATGCTAGAGTAATTATTTTAAACCAGAATTTGGTCTCATAATTCTGGTTGAAAACCCTTCAGCAACTCTTCACAGCTTTCAGGATAAAGTTAATACTTCAGAGTTCAGCACATAGACCCATAACTGCATGTCCAGGGCCAACCTTGCTAACTCTTGTTTTGCTAGTCCAAGTGGTCCTCTGAGACAGGACAATATTTTGTATTTCTGGCTTTTCAAATAGTGTTTTCAGCTGGATAAATCTTACATGTCCTCAAAGCTCCAGCAATATTGCCACCATCTATTTAACTATCTTTCTCTCCCTACTAGGTATAAGGCACTAAAGGGCAGTGATCCTGAATTCCATGCCTAGGATAGATCCTAAAACATACCATATGGTCAATATTTGTTGGTTGAATAAACAAATGAATGAGTGATATACAAATATTTTCTATTGCCTTAAGGAGAGCATACCAAGTATAATACAGGACTCTTTACCTTACAAAAGTGAAATTAGTGATCCTGTGCTTAAAGAAAAAGTGCAGTACAACTGGAGTCACAAAAACAACAACTGATGTGTTCATGATTGCCAGTTTGAACTGAATTAAGAACTTTAAGGCAACTGCACATTAATCACAGGTAAGAAACTAGGTTGGAAAACGATTCTTCTCGCAATCCTTTACAGTTATTTTGCTCTCATGTATGTTCATACTAATTTTTCAGTGACTTGCTTTGAAAAGTATTCAAAGCATTCAATGTAAAAGCAACAGCGCCCTTCTCTTTTTTGTACTTCATTAGCTTACCTAACATTTAATTAAATTATGTAATTACAAGAATAAGCACAACTGTCATAATCAGACATGGGAGCAAACGCAACTGTTTCCTGGCAAGCATACAACTCAACCACTGGGGAAAAAAGTGTGTCAAAATACTCACCACAAGAGTTGGGAAGTGGATGATACCACTCACTTTTTCAAAAGATGTGGATATGGAGAGAATCAGTAAACCTGGAATACAACATAATAAAGGCCACATATGACAAGCCCATAGCCAACATCATACTTAACAGTCAGAAGCTGAAAGCTTTTCCTCTAAGACCAGGAACAAGACAGGGATGCCCACTCTCCCCACTGTTATGCAACATAGTATACTGGAGGTCCTAGCCACGGCAATCAGACAAAACAAAGAAATACAAAGCATCCAGATTGGTAAAGAACAAGTCAAAGTGTCACTCTTTGCAGATGACATGATATTGTACATAAAATACCCTAAGGACTCCACTCCATAAACACTAGAACTAATATCTGAAACCAGCAGAGTTGCAGGAGACGAAATTAATACACAGAAGTCTGTTGCTTTCCCATACACTAATGATGAGCTAGCAGAAAGAGAAATCAGGAAAACAATTCCATTCACAATTGCACCAACAAGAATAAAATACCTAGGAATAAACCTAACCAAGGAAGTGAAAGACCTACTATCCCCTGAAAACTACAAGACACTCTTTAGAGAAATTAAAGAGGATGCTAACAAATGGAAACTCATCCCATGCTCTTGGCTGGGAAGAACTAATATTGTCAAAATGGCCATCCTCCCTACAGCAATCTACAGATTCAATGCAATCCCCATCAAAATACCAACAGCATTCTTCAACGAACCACACACATTTTTATGAGATAAAAAGTACAGCATTTTGCCAGGAATGAAAGTGAAGTGTACATCTCCTACCTTGAGGTGGTGAGCATCAGGTTCTGTGATGTTGATGAAGTTAGAAGAGAGTGAGGTATGTCCCCCTGCCTCACTCGGAGGCCAGGGCGGCCTGAAGAAGCAGGCTGGAAGTCAAAGAGAGACAGAAAGAAAGACACTCCTCATGAATACCCAGTCGGGCTGTTGGGGTCTGATTCCAGACATGTGGGCCTTTGAGAGGCTCTCGCAGCTGCCCACGGCCTACCTCAGTCCCTCGCATCCAGGGAGATGCCTCTGAAGGGGAATCCTGGCCTCCACTCAGGTGACTTTCCTGGCTCCCAAGAGAGAAGGGGGATTCACTGAGAGAGACGCAGGGGAACCTGTCACTCGAGACTTTGAGATTGGCAGCCGGGCTAGTCCCATTTAAGTGGCTGATGAGCACCCCATACTGTGTGCCACAGACAGCTTCCTTCTATAAGGACAGTGAAAGAAAAGGCAGGCTTGGATGCTGATACTAACCTCCGAAGTTACCCCGGACGAGCCCCCAAAAATGATGCAGCTTCTCACACCACAATGGTATGAAACTAGAAATAAATTACACAAATAAAATGAAAAAGACTACCATCACATGGAGGCTTAACAACATGCTCCTAAACAACCAATGGATCAATAAACAAATAAAAACAGCGATCAAGCAATATATGGAGACAAATGACAACAATAATTCAACAATGCAAAATCTGTGGGACACAGATAAGGTGGTGCAAAAAGGGAAGTATATTGCAATACAGGCTTACCTCAGGGAAGAACAACAATCCTATATGAACAGTCTAAGCTCACACTTATCACTACTAGAAAAAGAAGAACAAATGAGACCCAAAGTCAGCAGAAGGAGGAAGATAATAAAGATTAGAGCAGAAATAAATAAAATTGAGAAGAATGAAACAATGAAAGCAGGAGCTGATTCTTCAAGAAAATAAACAAAATAGATAAACCCCTAGCCAGACCAATCAAGAAAAGAAGAGAGACTGCACACATAAACGGAATCAGAAATGAGAAAGGAAAAATCACTACAGAAACCACAGAAATACAAAGAATTATTAGAGAATACTATGGAAAATTATATGCCAACAAACTGGATAACCTAGAAGAAATGGACAACTTTCTAGAAAAATGCAACCTTCAAAGGCTAACCCAGAAAGAACAGAAACTCTGAACAGACCAATTACCAGCAACTAAATTGAAAGGATAATCTAAAATCTACCTGAAACACATGGCTTCACCGCAGACGTTAATCAAACATTTAGTGAATATCTACTACCATCCTACTTAAGCTTTACCAAAAAGTAGAAGAGGAAGGAATACTTCCAAACTCATTCTATGAGGTCAGCATTACTGTAATACCAAACCCAGACAAAGACACCACAAGAAAAATAAAATTACAGACAAATATCGCTGACAAACATAGATGCAAAAATACTCAACAAAATATTAGCACACCAAATTCAAAAATACATCAAGAGGACCATCCATCATGATCAAGTAGGATTTATTCCAGGGACACAAGGATGGTACAACATTTGAAAACCCATCAACATCATCCACCACATCAACAAAAAGAAGGACAACAACCCCATGATCATCTCCATAGATGCTGAAAAAGCATTCAACAAAATTCAACAACCATTCACGATAAAAATCTCAACAAAATGGGTGTAGTGGGCAAGTACATCAACATAATAAAGGCCATATATGACAAGCCCATAGCCAACATCATACTTAACACAGAGAAGCTGAAAGCTTTTCCTTTAAGATTGGGAACAAGACAGGGATGCCCTCTCCCCACTGTTATGCAACATAGTATACTGGAGGTCCTAGCCACGGCAATCAGACAAAACAAAGAAATACAAAGCATCCAGATTGGTAAAGAACAAGTCAAAGTGTCACTCTTTGCAGATGACATGATATTGTACATAAAATACCCTAAGGACTCCACTCCATAAACACTAGAACTAATATCTGAAACCAGCAGAGTTGCAGGAGACGAAATTAATACACAGAAGTCTGTTGCTTTCCTATACACTAATGATGAGCTAGCAGAAAGAGAAATCAGGAAAACAATTCCATTCACAATTGCACCAACAAGAATAAAATACCTAGGAATAAACCTAACCAAGGAAGTGAAAGACCTACTATCCCCTGAAAACTACAAGACACTCTTTAGAGAAATTAAAGAGGACACTAACAAATGGAAACTCATCCCATGCTCTTGGCTGGGAAAAACTAATATTGTCAAAATGGCCACCCTGCCTACAGCAATCAATGCAATCCCCATCAAAATACCAACAGCATTCTTCAATGAACCACACACATTTTTACGAGATAAAAAGTACAGCATTTCGTCAGGAATGAGAGCGAAATGTACATCTCCTACCTTGCGATGGTGAGCATCAGGTTGTTCTGTGACACTGATGAAGTTAGAAGAGAGTGAGGTATGCCCCCTGCCCCACTCAGAGGCCAGGGCAGCCTGAAGAAGCAGGCTGGAAGTCAAAGAGAGACAGAAAGAGAGACACTCCTCATGGATACCCAGTCGGGCTGTTGGGGTCTGATTTCAGACATGTGGGCCTTTGAGAAGCCGCTGAAGTGTAGCCTCATCCTAGGCTCTTGCAGTTGCCCATGGCCTTCCTCAGTCCCTCACATCCAGGGAGATGCCTCTGAAGGGGAATCCTGGCCTCCACTCAGGTGACTTTCCTGGCTCCCAAGGAAGAAGGGGGATCCACTGAGGGAGACGCAGAGGAACCTGTCACTTGAGACTTTGAGATCGGCAGCTGGTCTAGTCCCATTTAAGTGGCTGACGAGTGCCCGATGTTGTGTGCCATAGATGGCTTACTTCTATAAGGACAGTGAGAGAAAAGGCAGGCTTGGATGCTGATACTCACCTCCGAAGTTATCCCAGACCAGCCCCCAAAATGATGCTGGGGTTCTTCTTGTCTGCGGAGTCAAAGAATGAACTTAGCAAACACCTATGATAGGAGAGGCTTTTAGTGAGATGTACAGTGATAGGACAGAGCTCCTGTCTCGCTGCACCAGGAGGGGACAAGAGAGCCCATAGTTGTGCATTGTCTAGGGGTTTTATAGGAAGTTGAGGATTTTTGGGTACTGGATAAAGGCTTAACAGTATGGATTTGTAAAGTGGTCCCTGAATATTTAAAATTAACTTAACATATGAAATTTACTGCTCTGGTTTCTCCCTGCAATACCAGCGTCTTGCTCAGGGAGCATATGAGACCAGGCTGCCTGCTTAGTCCGCAAGGTGGACTGAGTTACTATCTGTCTGCTAAAGAATATGTTAAGAATCTTACTACATCTTCATTCTGAAGCAGAAAGGTAAATCCCAGATATCACAGTAGCTGCTCTCCTGACAGTAGACTAACTGCAACTAACAGAGCCATACAGATTTGACAAGTCAGAACTCCAAGTTCTGGTTGGCGCATCAAAACAACTCAGACTGGATTAAAGACAGCAGTGTGAGAGGTGAGACAGAGACCCCCTCCTAAAACCACATATATAATATGAAAATACAAATAACACAACTAGTCCTGAAAGACCACTAGGAAAGAGGGCTGCACCAGACTGCACACACCTGGAGAAAAGAGAAGACCTCATGGAACAGGGCACCAGCACCACTCCCCTGTGACCCCAGACATCACTTCAGCGGTTGAGCAGCTCCAGAGAGGAGAGCTTCTGGGCAGTAGAGGGCGCCACATACAAATATGAAACGTCCAAGGAACCTGGTTCAAAACAAAATCTCAACACCAGAGAAAGGATGAGACTGAATTAATAAATCTTCCTGAAAGAGATTTCAAAATAAAAATCATAAACATGCTCATGGAGGTACAGAAAAATATTCAAGAACTCAGGAAAGAATTTAGGATGGAGATCCAATCATTGAAGAGCACAATGGAGGGTATTAAAAGCAGATTAGATTTGGTGGAGGAGATGATAAATGAAAATAGAAACTAGGGAAGAAGAATATAAAGAAGGGGAGGCATAGAGAGAAAAAAGGATCTCTAGGAATGAAAGAATACTGAGAGAATTGTGTGACCAATTCTAACGGAACAATATTTGTATTACAGGGGTGTCACAAGAAGCAGTGAGAGAAAGGGATAGAAAGTATCTTTGAGGAAGTAATTGCTGAACACTTCCCCAATCTGGGGAAGGAGAGAGTCTCTCAGGCCATGGAGGTATACAGATCTCCCAACACAAGGGACCCAAGGAGGACAACACCAAGACATATAACAATTAAAATGGCAAAGATCAAGGAATAAGGACAGACTATTAAAAGCAGCCAGAGACAGAAATAAGACCGTGTACAAAGAAAAACCCATCAGGCTATCATCAGACTTCTCAGCAGAAACCTTACAGGCCAGAAGAGAATGGCATGATATATTTAATGCAATGAAACAGAAGGGCATTGACTCAAGAATACTGTATCCAGCATGACTATCATTTAAATTTGAAGGAGAGATTAAACAATTCCAAGACAAGCAAAAGTTGAGGGAATTTGCCTCCCACAGACAACCCCTATAGGATATTTTAAAGGGACTCCTCTAGATGGAAGCGCTCCTAAGACTAAATAGATGACACCAGAGTAAACAAAATCACTGCAAGGAAAGCAGACCAACCAAATACTAACTAAAGGCAAAAAAATAAAATCAACTATCCCAAAAAGCAGTCAAAGGAAACACAAGGGAGTACAGAATAGAACACCTAACATATAAATAATGGAGAAAGAAGAATAAGAAGGGATAGAAATAATGAATCATCAGACTATGTTTATAATAGCCTAATATAAGAGTTACGTTAGACAGTCAGACAGTAAAGAAGCTACCCTTGAACCTTTGGTAACCACAAATCCAAAGCCTGCAACAGCAATAAGCGTATATCTTTTGATAATTACCCTAAATGTAAATGGACTGAATGCACCAACCAGAAGAAACAGAATAACAGAATGAATAAAAAAACAAGACCCATCTATATGCTGCTTGCAAGAAATTCACCTCAAACACAAAGACATACACATATGAAAAGTGAAGGGATGGAAAAAGATATTTCATGCAAACAACAGGGAGAAAAAAACAGGTGT